ACCTGTCGGAGGCAAAATTGAAGGAAGATGTGTTCATTGGACCAGACATTAGAAAGCTTATAGTTGATCAAGAGTTTGTCAATACCATGACGGATCCTCAAAAAGAAGGGCGGATTGCATTTAAAGAAGTCATACAGAAATTTTTAGGCAATAATAAAGATCCTCACTACAAAAAGATCGTCAGAAGAATGCTGAAAGCATTTCGAGCTTTAGGTTGCCTGATGAGTTTGAAACTGCATTTCCTCCAGTCCCACCTTAACTACTTTCCTGAAAATTTGGGAGCTGTTAGAGAGATGGAAAGGAGATACCAGGGAAAATGGAGCATTAAAATGAATGCAGACTACTGTTGAATGCTTCAGAGAGACATTTCAGATGCTACTCACGACCGTAAATGCACCAAGAGGAGCCTCACAGGGAAGAAGAATCGAGTTTAGTGTGTGTAAGTGAGCTCATTTCAGTTCAAAAAAGGATTTTCATGAAAATATTGTAATAAAACTTTAATTTTATGTGTATTTCCATTTATTTTGAGGTATTGCCTTATTTAACATAGTTACCTAAATTGTCAGGAAATGTGATGTCACAAAATGGAGGTCATTTTCAGATTCAGCGCACCAAAAAAACATAAAGATTACGTGGAATAACCAAAACAGCTCTCGAATTTATTTTTTTTGCAGACCTGTGTTATAATAGTGACCAGTTTAGAACACTGAAATTTAGAATGCTCATTAACAAACTAGAACATGTTTGAATTACAAGCAAACAGATTTTGTATGGACGTAAGGTTTTCTTCATGAATGATGGAATAGACTTTCTGGAAAGTGGTAGGTTGTTTCACTGGAAACATTGAATGGAGGATGGATGATCTTATCTCTTCGACACATTGTAGTAGTGGATTCCTACCCAAGGAAGGACTTTGGACTCAATAATTGTCTCCAAGTTTCCTTCCAAACATTCTAGCATTAGTACCGTGATTGATGTGAAGGTACAGGTTGTGTGATCATCCTCTGTAAATGGATTTTTCTCTTAGTGTAAGCTTCATGAGAATTAGACTTCTGGTGTCTCTTCTGACTCCTTCCTTTTTTTCTCATTGAATACAAAGGCCGAGAGTGAAAAAGATTGCAGGTAGGCAGAGGTAGCAAAAGGGCAGGATTCACTTGAGCTTCTGGATATGACTTCCTTGCCTTTCTTCCTATGTGCTCTGGAACAGCTGTTGTTCCGTTAAGTGGCTTAGCATTGAGTATACTACTACTGTTGAAACTGCCTTACTTGTGGAGAAAGATGAGGGTGAAATTTCCCATATTTTGTGTGAGTAGATGTGCCCAACACGAACTTATTCGATGGAAGCCATCAAGCTGGATTGTATCTACACTCCAAAGAGGTCTCCCCAGCCCTGATCAATTCTCATATTGCCATTCTGGTGGAGAGGAAGAAGCAGAATCCATCTCCTATACTTGCTACTCCTATGCTGTCATGCTAACCTCTGCAAACAATCCTGTTGTCAGATGGCAGGCATTATTGATTTGACTCAATGTTAACCTGGTTGTTTGAGGGTCCCCTCTATTGATGTTGCCCAATGTTTCATATAGGTTGCTGGAAAGTCACTGCAGTTGATGCCAGCTCCTTGACCATTGTTTTGCTTTGGTGTTCAGAAGCAGTTGCTGGAATGGTCAACTGGGGCTGTTCTGTTTCGGTCAGGGACGTGCAGTCATTAGAGGCAAGGGTGGTGGGGCCTCACCAGTCTCCTCAGGAAAAAGAATTTAAAATTTTTTTTTAA